AGGGAGAAAGGGAGAAGCTTGTCAGCTTCCCCAACCAACAACAAAACAAAAATATCATAAATCCTACGTGTTCTCTCTCATTAGGCCAGAAACGACCACCTCTAGTTCATAATTTCATCTCCTTGCTTCCAACACTGGAATCAACTAACAACAAAACAAAAACAATATCTCAAGTCCACATAGGTGCAGGATAACCAGACAAAATCATAACTTGTCACCACTAACTATGAAAGCTACATCAATCACAAAATCAAATAAGAGAAAGGGGTAACCCAAGAGAGGTAATCATCACAGTGGACATAAGAGCCAATAGGTTACAAAGCAATTAGCTCAAAACAAAAAACAAAACAAAATGGTAAGCATTAAAACAAGAAAACAGTAAGTAAAGTAATGAACACTCAGATCAGAAGTGAAAGGCTCAGTATAAACACTTTGAGGTAGGAACACAGCATGAGATGCTGCAATCATCTGTAACAAATAAAATAATAATGATGATTCCAAGAAAAATAATAAGTACAAATAAAATAATAAACACAAATAAGGCTAACACAACTGACAAGAACATCTTACAGCAGTTCACAGAGATAGAAAATAGAATCAACACAAAAACAAACTTGATAATACACAGAAAACATTAGTTTGGTGTATTGAAACATCAGGTGAATTTAGTTTAACGCTCCAAGGTGCAGTAAGGTAAAGTCGTCTCAGGTCACATCAACAATGCAAAATGCCAGACAATAATGCTACTCAAGTAATGTAGAAACTCTGTCAATAAGCAAGAAGGACTGTCAAACTAAACTCCGGTAGTGACATCAAATAAAGCTCATTACAGACAGTAAATGATCGAAACAAAACAGCTGGGGGTGACCGTTTCAGGAAGGGAAAATATTTCCACAACAAAAGAAAAGAACAAATAAAGAAATAACACAAAATTTGCAAAAACGTACTTTGCATTAAAATGGTCATACTACAGGAGATAAGGAAGTGTTTTGAAGAGGAACCCCAATTAGAGTAAAGATTAATCAGAGGAACAACTAAAGCACTTATACAAATGTGAAACTACTAGGTTCATCTGTAACCAGGACATATTAGGGTGTCCAACCACAAAGCAGCTTCCAGGTCATCTCACTACTCACCAAATCTAAGGGACAGGTAGGACAAGTGTCACCTTATAATGCTTGTCTGACAATGAACAAAACAATGATGATGAGTCAAGGGCAGAGGACTGTCTAATGAGCTGCCGCTCAGTCCTCGTAATAAGAAAGCAGGAGCTGATCTACTCCAAGGTAGTTTGTAGCACTCATTATAATGTTGTAGAAAATTTCTGGCCAATCCACATGATCGGCATCAGTGATCGGTATCGGTGATCGGCAACAAGAAACCTGATCGGCGCATCCCTAATATCTAGAAATCTCAAATGGGTAATGCTTATGAGGAAATCTGCTCAAGGCAGGCAAACCAGAAAAAACTAAATCACTATTTGTGAAAGGTCAGGACGTCATGCATTTGTCTCTAATTGCCTAAGGATAAGGTGATTTAGGGTCAAAACAAAACATTTATGAATAGGTCAGCGTGGCCTCCAGCAGACACCAGCTGTTTGGATCCAGATAAGAAACAATGAAGTTTGGCTTGACACTGAGAATTCTGCCTCAGTCCACACAGTCACAATAAAGGGAAATAATGTCATAACGTAAAAGATGAAAAAAACCCTATTGTAACTTAAAAATCCATCTAGCTACAATAAATAGTGTGTTTGAAGGTAGCGAGTCAAACCGAGTCGACCGCACGGCAGCCGGCAAAGCAAGGCAGCGACCGAGACCCGAGGAGGAAGCGGCGCCGTGCAGCCCACCGGGCTACGTGGACGGCACCAAAAATGTTGGGTTATTTTTATATTCCTTAACCCTTAAACCTGAAATGAACACACACAGAGAGGAGTTAATTCGTTTTACGCTGTGTTGCCAGAACAGCGGAGGGAAGACGTGGCACAAACCCCTCCGGGTCTCCACCATACCTTCTCTGCTCTTCTCTGTCCCACAGTAAGTTTTATTGAAAGACAGGATGAAGAAGGCGGGGCCTTCTCGAGTTACAGAGTTACAGGCTCATCTCCTAGGATACCGCATTCCAGAGATATCAGCAGGCCTACAGAGGAGCATTTACACAGTCAAAATACTGGAAAGGAAAGAATGTCCTGAGACGTTCTTTGACTCTAAAAGGAACATTAAATACAGAAAATACCTATCACCAAGCAGGTGATATTCTATAATTAATAGATTATCACAGTTATGGGTCACAAGTAATGACAATAAAATTGTCATGATCCTGTTCCTGCCATGAACTGTTGACACAGCAACCTCAGCCTGCACCTCGTCAACTCCATTCATCTCACCTGTTCCTGTAATCAGCTCATCCTCCACACCTATTTCCCCTGCTATTTAACTCCCAGCCTGCTCTCCAGCCATTGCCAGATTATTGAACGCTCTGCTAGTAAATTCTCCAGCCTGTTACTCACCTTGCCATCGTAAGATCCAGAACCCTGCTCCTTCCCCGACCTCGCCTTTTTGGATTACCCTGTCTGCACCGCTGCATCTCTGATCTTCTGGTTCCGATCCTGCTCAGTCTCTGACTTCGCCTTTTGGATTTTCCTATTGGACATTTCCCACCTCAGATCTCCTGCTAACGACCTCCTGTCTCCTGACCTAGCCTTTGCCTCTCCCCTTTTAAAAAACATTCTTAAATAGGTCATTCTGTGTTGGGTGTTTTTACGGGTCCGCAGTTAACTCATAAGTAGCTCTTAAGCAAATTTATTTAATCCAATTTACTCTCTATTGACTTCATTACACACCATAAAGACCAAGCAGGTTGATATTCTATATTTAGATAGTGTATCGCAGCTTATTGGTCATAAGTAGAGGTAATATATATATAGAGAGCTCTTAAAGCACTCAATTTACCAAACCCTACAGGTATTCCACCTCCACGGATTGCCCTCAGACATCATCTCTGAGAGTGGGTCCCAGTTTGCCTCTGGCTTCTGGAAAGCGTTCTGCTCTCATTTGGGCATACAATTGGGCCTCTTGTCTGGTTTTCACCCTCAGACCGATAGCCAATCTGAAAGAATCAACCAGGAGGTGGAAACCAAGCTCCACCTGCTCTGCCAGGATGATTCAACCTCGTGGGCCCATAACCTGCCTTGGGTGGAACATGCCCCAACTCTCTTCCATCAAGCTCCACAGGTGTATAGCCATTTTACGCCGTCTATGGTTTTCAGCCTCCCGTCTTCTCCCTGCAGGAATGTGAATCCAGGGTCACCTCTGCCAAGGCAGCCACCCTCAGGTGCCATCGTGTGTGGAAGCTTGCCCCATAGGAACGTCATTGGTACTGGGCTTCAGTACCTGGTGGACTGAGAAGGTTTTAGCCCTGAGGAGTGTGCCTGGGTTCCCACCAGGGACATCCTCAATGGGTCGCTTATCCAGGACTTCCACCGAACTCATCCCGAGCAGCCGGGTGGACTGGCTGGTGCTGATCCTGATCCAGCCATGCCCCGTTTCCTCAGCTACCACAGCCTGCTCATCATCAGCCTCATTCATCACACCTGTTCCTGCCTCATCAAGCCCATTCCATATGCCTGCTCCTCCTGCTATAAGTGCCATCCAGTCACCGCTAGACTATCGAATACTCTCGTCAGTAGATTCTCCAGCCCTTATTACTTACCTCGCATCCACAGATCTCAACCTTGTTTTGTCCTTTGATCTCCCTCCTCATCTCGCCCCTTTTGGATTTCCTGTTCCCTTCGGATTCATGGGCTCTGACCTTGCTTCATTCCCTGACCTCGACTTTGGATTCCCCGTCTGGACATTCCTGCTCTGTGATCTCCTGGTAATGTTCCTGCCGGCCTCTTGCTCCCGCCTCATTCCCGACAATATATCACAAGATGATTTGGTTGTGGTAAAAGTGTGAGAACATTTTTAAACTACACTCGAATGCAGATTAAACACAATACTTAGTCTGTATGACGTACGTTCAGTTTAATTTTCATGAATTTTATTTTATATTTTGTGATTCCTAACTTCTTGCTACTCTTCCTGTAGGACTGGTGGGACAGTGCCGTAGCAACCTCTATGGACGAGCCGCCACTGCCTAATAGGCTGAACTGATTGCATTGTGCATGTAATTTCAAGACTGAGTTGAACATTTCTGGAATAATTTAATTCATGTAGAGTCGCCTGTAGATGTTTCTTTTTTCTGGCCAGCCTCTGTAGCCAAGGATCAGACCACAATTTTTTAGCCCGTCCCACAAATGGTAAACATTCCTACCCTCACTTATGGTCACAAGCTTTGGGTAGTGACCAAAAGAATGAAACTGCGGACAAGCGGCCGAAATTAGTTTTCTCTACCGGGTGTCTTCTTCAGAGAAAGAATGAGAAGCTCAGTCATCCGGGAGGGGCTTGAAGGAAACCCGCTGCTCCTGCACATTGAGAGGAGGCAGTTGAGGTGGCTCAGGCATCTAATTAGGATGTCTTCTGGATGCCTCCCTGGTGAGGTTTTCTGGGTACATCCAACTGGGAGGAGACCTAAAGGAAGACCCAGGATATGCTGGAGGGACTATTTCTCTTGGCTGGCCAGGGAACGCCTTGAGGCTCCTCAGAGGAGCTGGTCCAAGTGGTTGGCCAGAGGGAAGTCTGGGCCTTGTTGCTTATGCTGCTGCCTCTGCGACCCGACTGAAAATGGATGGATGAATGGATGGATGTTTCTGTTTTAAGTTGGTCTCTTCTGAAGATTTTTGCCATTAATCAAAAACTAAAATATCAGATTTAAAACTGTTCAAACAGCAGCACTACTTTTAATTGTTTCATCAGTTGTGACAAAAGAACAAAACAGATCATAAGAAAACAGCAAACTCAGACATTAAAAACTCAGTTTGAGCACAGGTTTCAGAAACAACTAAAAACCTCAGAAATAACAAATGTGGTATTTCTGAGTGGATGAAAAAGATGAACAAATTATGGATTGTAAATTATTTTTATTTCGCTCCTGTTTAAAAAAGGTGAAATCAGCTTAGTTTTAGTCGTCAGCAGACAAGAAGTGTGAATATGCCATTATTGTTCAATTCTCTGTGGGTTTCAGTCAAGCTACATGCATTTGAAAGGCTGTGTCAAGGGGCGGGGCCTGTCAGGTGAATGATGGTGGCACACCCACTCTAAGCCAACCTCTCAGTAGACAGCTTGAAAGCACAACTTGATTTATTTTATTAGTTGTATCAGAGCAAGTGGCAGATGCATTCTGTCATCATAGCAACAGCAGAGGACTGAGTAATGAGGTTAATAATAATTGCTGAGCTCATGTTTGAAGTTTCTTCTCTCCTCCATGTCTGCAGGATGCTCAAAGTCTGAGACAGGACACAAAAGGAAGGAGCGTTAGAACACATTCATGGAGACTTTCACTTTCAAACATTTATTTCACTGTTTGGCAAACAGAACGTGCACGTAAGAAAAAAATGTTGAATTTACTTAACCACATTATATCAACTGGTTCCAGTCACTAAACCCAATCAATTAAATGTAATGAGTGTCTGTGTTAAAGGTAAATGTATATTACTATTTACATTTAATCAACTGGGTTAAGTAGAACCAGTTCACATAACTTGGTTAAAGCTGCTTTCTGGAGTTTTCCCCTTTCAGGAATTCTGTTTTTCAGTTTTTCAGAAATCAGTATCATATACTTTGATATAATGAAGAAAATAGATCTTTTTTTTTTTTTTTTTTTTTTGCTAAGCCCACCCCCTGTCCCAGGGAGCTTAATGCAATATGAACTGAACGCCGGTCAGCACTAACCAATAACGTTAGACTACCGCTTGCATCCAGATTATGTGGGTAAACCACAGAGCGTGCTCAAGTGTTTAAGGACGTACTTCAGTTGGCGACATTTCTCGTGGAAAAGTAAAAATACATGAGAATAATTGTAAAACAACGTGTTTCAGCTCTATGTTGATGGCTAGAGGAGCGCATTCATGAACGAAAGGTGCCTTAAATACAGAAATAAAAGTCGGTCACGATGTGATACGCTTGGCCGCTGCTTGACGGTTCCATCAGATAAATATGATATATGAACAGCTATTTTAAGTTAATTCAACATTTCGTGTCCTACAGTGTAGTCGACCAGATCAGATTTGAGCCAATCTTTTACAACACTGAAGCATTGGTCCTTCAAGTGTCTGAGCGTGGATGTTATTTTTCTAGAATATAGCAATGCTATGGCTATAGTCCATGAACATTTATTACAAGATGGGCGTACAAATACTGGTGCCTCACAATGCCCTCTACTGGGTTCAGTTCTGAAAGATTTCAGATAAAATCTGGCCATGCTCCATTGACGGCTCTCGGTTGTGGGGCGGGTTCTACCGTTGTCTTTCAAATGATCTCTGCATTCCACTGGACAATGAATGTGACATACTCTTGTTTCACTCTGTTGCATCATCCCACCCACCAGGCATATAGAGTGCCCTGATTGGCCCACAAAGCGGATAAAGCTCTGTGATTTGTTCACTAAGCAGATAGAGCACTATGATTGGCCCACCATTATGGACCAATCACAGCTCTTTATGTGTTTGAAACCCCTCTAGAGAGCTGTGATTGGCTAGCCAGAGTCCTGGTAGGAGCTGCTGAGGTTCCAATGGAGCATGCCTAGACCAAACTTTGCAAAGCAAGAATTTGGTCTAGTTCACTAGGCTAATAAAATCCTGGAATTTCAAACATCTCTGATGCTATTTGCTTCGTTTTCCTATTAATCCTAGTTTCCCACCTACTGTGCAGCCTGTTCGGGTTGTTCTCCACCTGCTTCTGTTTTTGAGATGTCAGTCTGCAGATGACACAGAAGAAAAGCCAAGTATGATCAGATCTACCATAGTTCACAAATACACAAAACTGCATTTCTCACAGAACAGGAAGGTAAAGGTTGTTTTAGTTTAGATAAGCCATGTTATTTGTTTACTAGATTGGTTATGTCTCCAGGACTGTCAAAGGGACAAGTATCGATATTTTATACCTATTTTATAGCTATTTATTTCTGTATTCTTGTGAATTTTTTGTGGCACTCGTCCCAAATGATCACAGCAAAACAGATCACACTCAGGCATGGTAACATGGAACTCCACAAATATCCATCGCAACATCTTTTCACACATTTCCATATGTGTTTTATAATATTTAGTTCTCCCATCAAAGTCAGAAATAGACTTTACTTTTTTCCTGGATGCTTAGTTGTTCTTTCTGCTTGATGTTTTATATTCACCCAAACTCTAAAGCAGGGCTGCATCCAGCACATTTAGAGGTTTCTCTGCTCAGTGGTTGCATCACCTGCAGCAGCTCATCAGGCTCTGCAGAAGCCTATTAATCACCTGCTGACTGAAATCAGGTGTGTTGAAACAGGATTAAAACTAAAAGGTGCTGGATACCGGCTCTCCAGGCCTGGAATTGAACACCTCTGCTCTAAAGCTTTCAAAACGGCTCTAGGTTTAGATTTTTTTGGGGTCTTGATGTTCAGCTGCAGCACTGATACCTTGTCTGACGGATTTGTTTGTGAGAAAGATGCAGCTTTTTGACAAAATCCTCGTAGATTCAGACAAAAGACAACTGGAGCTCCTTGTTTTTAGGGAGAAGTCTTAACATCCCAGAAACAGAAAAGTCCAGATGTGTTTCTTCTGGAGCCCTGGTCCAGCAGCTGATTTCAGTACAGAAGGGCAAAAAAATGTTCTTAATAAAAAAAAGTGCATTATGAATTGAATGGAAATTATATTTGTACTTTATACTTATGATCACAACACGGTTATCTTTTCTCTTTCATAATTGTCTTCCTTCACATTTTTAATCTAAATAGTTTCTTTTTCTCCATTTTTATTACCACGTCCTAATAACCGAGACCGAGAAAGGGTGGCTTGCCAACTCCGGGTCGGGAGAGAGGTCCTACCTCAAGTGGAGGAGTTTAAGTATCTTGGGGTCTTGTTCACGAGTGAGGGTAGGAGGGATCGGGAGATCAACAGGCGGATTGGTTCAGCGTCTGCAGTGTGCGGACGCTGAGCCGATCTGTCGTGGTGAAGAGGGAGCTGAGCCAGAAAGCCAGGCTCTCGATTTACCGGTCGATCTACGTCCCAATCCTCACCTATGGTCATGAGCTTTGGGTAATGACCGAAAGAACGAGATCACGGATACAACCGGCCGAAATGAGTTTCCTCTGTAGGGTGGCCGGGCTCAGCCTTAGAGATAGGGTGAGGAGCTCGGACATTCGGGAGGGACTCGGAGGGACCGCTGCTCCTCCGGATCGAAAGGAGCCAGTTGAGGTGGTTTGGGCGTCTGGTCAGGCTCCAGGACGCCTCCCTGGGGAGGTGTTTCGGGCATGTCCTGCCAGCAGGAGACCCCCGGGTCGACCCAGGACACGTTGGAGAGGTTACATCTCAAATCTGGTCCGGGAACACCTTGGGGTCCTGCCGGAGGAGCTGGTGGAGAAGGCCGGGGAGAGGACAGTCTGGAGCTCCCTAGTTGGGATGCTGCCCCCGCGACCCGCACCCGGATAAGCGGAGGAAGACAACGACGACATTTTTATTACGATATTTTGAATTGTTTGTTTTACTTTTATTTTTTGTTCTTATGAAGCACCTCATGATTTTTATCTTGAGAGCCGCTATATAAAAAAATAGTTTCTTCTTATCTCTAGTGAACCTTAAATCTGCTTTGTCCTTTGTTGTCTTTCTGAATATTTAATTTCTTGCTTCAGTACACAAACATGTCATCAGCATAAGGGTAAACTTATTATTGCTTTTAGTCAGATGGTTAGTTTTTCAGATTTTTTGTTAGTCGTTTACTAGAAATTCTCATCACATCAGAATTCATGCTTTTCATTTCTGTCAGGCAACGTGAATGTCCATGGAAATGATAAATAACCCGCACTTGTATAGCGCCTCTCATAGCGCCTCTCAGAGTAAGGACTCCAAAGCGCTTTACCCTACAGTGTATCATTCATCCATTCACACACTGATGGGGATGAGCTACAATGTAGCCACAGCTGCCCTGGGGCACACTGACAGAGGCGAGGCTGCCGAGCACTGGCACCACCAGTCCCTCCGACCACCACCAGCAGGCAACGTGGGTTAAGTGTCTTGCCCGGAGCCGGGATCGAACCTGCAACCTTCCGATTACTGGACAACCCACTCAACCTGTTGAGCTACTGCTGCCATGTACGAGATGAGCCAGTTCTGTGCAGATTAGATCATCGGTGATCAGCACGCAGTGCATGCCTGTTAGATTCGGGTCTGACTTAACGCTGACTTGCTCTGATGTCAAGCCTACTAGGCAATGATAACCTCGTAAGATCAAGACGGCTGCAGATTTTGGAGCAAGGTGCTGCAGGTGCTCTCTACCGGCTGCAAAACCTGGGGCATGACGGGAAACGTCTGGCTCTCACCTGATCTAAGATCTGATTGGTTTCTGTGGCGAGGGCCGCCTCAGGGACGTCTCCCTGGCTGTCTTTGTATGAACAGGAACTCGCGATGGACAAAGAAAAGACAAGATGTTTGTTGGGACTGGGTGCTGAACCCGAACCTTCCTGCTAGAAGCATGCAAGAGATGCAGAGACTTTAATATGCACAGAACATGCGTTACCCTGCCAACATCTGGAAACCACAGCGGGGGCGACGACATCTAGTTTTAAATGTTTGACATGTTCTGCACCTGCAAAAGCGTGAACTTGACTTCACCTTGATCCAATTTCAGAATGTGATAATACATCTGTGCTAAAGGTGAAAACAACTCCATGCCACACTGCCTAAGAGTCAGGATATGGTTGCAACTTTAGAACTCATAACAGTTCAAGCTGTGGTTACACCTGTGAAGCAAAAGGTTAATGATTTCACTGTCTGATGGAAGAGGTTCTCTCATGAGCCAAAAAACCACAGTGATTTTTGCTATAAAAGTGATCAATAAAGAATGAACGGGGCACTCTCTTGCGATTTGTCCTTCTGTAACTTGTAGGCAGAGAGTCTCGCAGAACCTCAGAGAATGCTCTTCGAACCCGAACCATTCTTTAACTAAATCTATAACGAGTGTGATGAACATGGGCCGCACCGAGATGGGTTAAAGGGCAAGTGCCTCGAAGGCGCTGCATTTATGTTTTTTTTATATATTTATTTATATGCATAGCCATATATGCATAAATAAATAGTAGGATAGAGGACAATAAAAAAAGCTCCAGCATTTGAGGGGTGCAGACTAAAACCGGTAGACGAGAAGCTCAGTTGCGCTCGAAGGCTCATTATCCATCAAACTATAGTAGATGTAAATTGCTAAAATTAGTCTAAACTCAATCAATAATTTTACCTAATTATAAAAGAGCTTAGTTACTCTTGATTTTACATACCTCTTACCTGCCAATCTTAATTGCTTAACATTACTTTCATATTAACCTTTAAGTTTAATTTTACTTATGTTTTAATCTTTTGAACTTGGAGCTGTGTAGCATCCAGAAATTGTCAGTTTTTCATCTATATAGTTGACCAACATCATCAGCAAAAACGGTTCAAACTATCTGCTGGATTCGGCTATTCTATCAGCTGAAATCCAGGCCTCTGCAGCTTTGTACACAAGATAATATATCGTCAACAAACCACTCCCATTTCAAGGCCTTCAGCTTTCCTCTTATCGCTTCTACAGGATTCCTCCTGCCTCTGAATAAAAGTGAACATTTTCAGCTCATGTGAGTTAATTAATCATGCAATGAAGGGACAAGGTGTTAAATGAAATGTTTTGAGTAATCTGTGCCTAAGTTAATAAGGTTGAAATGAATATTGTCCTGCAATGATCCATTTGTCTGTTAATCAGTCTACGTGACAAGCTAATCAGCCATCCTCTCATACACATGTGCATATCTCCGTATGACGTAAAGTTAAAGTAATCGCATGCACATAGTGATTTACTTATACACAAATCAGAGCATCTTTTGTATCTGAAAAAGACGTGTGTTCTGAGGTTTGTTTGTTAACACCTCTTAATCTATTTTGTCCTGATTGGCCACGCAATCATAATATGAGAATTATTAAAACAGATCTCACTTCCTGAGTGATTCAGTTTAAGCTCAGTTCGAGTTCGAGTAGACCTTCGGAGTGGCCAATCTGAAATAAACTCTTTGAACCATCAAAGCTTTTGACAAGCTAAAAGCTGCCTGCAGCGACACAGAAACTTGCTCTTTCAGCTATTCAGAAACAGCTGTTCTAGACGCAAACGATTTCCTCTATCGTTGTGACCCGGAGGCATCCCAGGACTGACTTGGGCGCATCGAGGTTTTCCTACGAGCCACGTGCATTGGGGTCACTGACTCTTTGACATCTCGGATCCAAACGGGGGTCTCCATAACGGGTACGTAGGCACAGCATGAATTGCATCTGATGCAGTTTTGATAAATCAATTCTTTAGCTTATAACAACCACAAATTCTTATACACAGAATTCATAGTTTCTTCCAGATACGAGGGTTCTGATAACCATCACATTACACTACACCATACACTCATCACGTGTCATTGTCTCCTAGTTTTCATGTATATAATTAGTCTAGAAAATAAAGTTTATTTTTAGTTATATCATTGACTGTCTGAATTAATACGAAGTGGACCATGATCACTAAAATAGCAAATAATCCTAATTCTTCTGTTTAAACATTCAAAGATCAGGTTGATATACTATATTTATATAGAATATCACATCTTATTGGTTGTACGTAAAGGTAGTATATTAAGCTTAAAAGCAACGTACAATTCCTCTACAGCAGATAATGCTCAACATTTTGATTGCTTGAATTTACTTGCATTCTAACATTCTTTTAGTTTTAGATTTCTCGATTTAATAATCTCATATTTTGCCTTTTAAACCTTAATTCGTAGATGTTAGCTAATGTTTCACTAGAAGTGTAATGATTTTACTTGTTTTACCTTATTAACCAAAAAAATCATAAAATAACAAAACTCACAAAAATATTTTATATGGATTTGCTGTTTTTCATTTTTACCGTGGCCTTTTGGCTGATTTTGCTGTGTTGATTTCTTAATTTATTAAAAGGGTTGCTTTATTAGAACCCAAAACACAGTCTCCTGCGAGTCATTTTATTCATCAAAACTACTTAGATAATTGCATAGCTGACAGCTCCTTTCTCATAAGAGGAACTTCAGCCTAGCACAGGCTTAACCCTTTACTCCTAACCCCAGAAGCCGGCTGGAATCAACAAGGCTCGTGCAGTATCTCTGAATCTGAAGCTGCATGCTCCGCTGCACATCAGAATTCTACGATATCCTTGCCACCAGTTTGGTGGGATTCAGAGAACAGGATTGTGTGGAGAGACTTCTCCTGGCCAGCACAATCCCTGGATCCAAACCAGCAAGAGGTAAGCCAGGAACTAGACCTGGGGTCTGCCCAGTACAATCCCTCGGTGTGAACTATGTGGGCACCCCACAGTGGTATCTGCCCCAAAACTACCCACAGTAACCCTTATGGGTAGTCTAACAGTCTGCCCAGATTAATCTCTCAGAGTAATTTCTATGACCCAAAAGGCTACCCACAGTGTGAGTGATTTTAAGTCAAACTGGGCAGATTGCTGGAATCTTCATATGGGCTGACACCAACAGGACCACAGGGCACATACATCTGTAGGGTGTCCACAAAAATCAACTTGTTCGATTTAACTGGGCTGTCTTGTGGATAAACCATATGGGCTGACACCCATGGAGCCACTGTGGGTAGTTTTTTTTTAGCACATATCACTGTGGGGTGCCCACATAAAGCCTTCTGTGAGATTAGACTGGGTAGACTGTTGGATTTCCCACATGGGCTGACACCAAAAGGCCACTGTGGGTAGTTCTTGGGCACATAACACTATGGAGTGCCCACAGAAATCTCCATGAGGGATTAATTTTGGCAGACTGCTGTATTCCTGTGAGAATGTAGAGCAGCCAGAAGGTCTTCAAGGTGAAAGAAGTAGAGGCAAACTGCAGCACAGGGACATTTTTCCTTGGGAGCCAAAATGCTTCTCAGGCATTTATTTTATTTCATTCCTTTTCTTTTGCAGGTCAAAAAATAAAAAACCTCCCCAAGCCTCCACCTGGCTTCCTTTAAATACCCCAGAAAATCACACCTGCAAACAATCAGCCCTAATCATCAGTGCTCCAACATTAAATCCAAAAGGAAATAAACATCCACATAAATGTACCTAAGGGTTAACATATACAAAAGACAAAACTGTTTCTACAATACAAGAAACATTGTCACACTAAGACCAAAGAAACAAATCCCACTTCCTTTGGTTTGTCCAAATGGAGCGGCCAATCATAGGATGATCCAGGGAGGTAGTACTGGGTGGGGTGGGCCCTCCCCTCACAACCTACTCCCTCACAACCTACTCTGGATACAAAGCAAACATGAAATTCCAAATGGTAACTACATCCACACCAGTGCAATATTCACATTTCAGTCTGGTTAAAATATCCCCCATCACAGTGCCAGCAGGCTACAGAAATAAATTACAGGGGCGAATGGGAAATCATCCATACCACTTCGTCACAATTCCCCATATTGGCTCACACCCATGAGGCCACTGTGGGTAGTTTTTGAGTGGATACTACTGTAGGATGCCCACAGAAATAAATACAGTTAAAACACAAGTGCAAACATCCATTGGGCTGGCAAAGGGCCCCACAATGGCTCGGCATTGAATGGATTTGGGCAGATATATTTGTGGGTTGTACCCTTAATTAAATCCAAAAGGGACCCACGTGGGAAAAGACGTACTGGCTCCATTCAAACACAAGATCCTTGTTCCTGCCCCAGACAGAGCCCACTAAAGCCCATGGTGAAGTGTGTAGTTTTTTTTTATGTAACATACATGATACGGAATAGATTTTACCAGGGAGGCTGAGGAGTGTGATCCCTCTATAGTTGGAAAACACTCTGCGGTCCCTCTTTTTAAATAGGGGGACCACCACCCCAATCTGCCAATCCAGCGGAACTACTCCCAATGTCCACGCGATGTTGTAGAGCCGCGTCAGCCAACACAACCCTACAAAATCCAGAGTCTGAAGGAACTCTGGGTGGATCTCGTCCACCCCTGGAGCCTTGCCACCAAGGTGCTATATGACCATCTCAGTGACGTCAGCACCAGAGATTGGAGAGCCCAACCCAAAGTCCCCAGACCCTGTTTCCTCACTAGAAGACATACCGGTGGGATTGAGGAGGTCTTCGAAGTACTCCGCCTACTAATCCACAGCGTCCCGAGTTGAGGTCAGCAGCACACCATCCCCACTATAAACCGTGTTTGTAGCGCACTGCTTTTCCCTCATAAGGCCCGGATGGTGGGACAGAATCTCCTCCAAGCCGTAAAGAACTCTTGCTCCATGGTCTCACCAAACTCCTCCCTCACTCATGTTTTTGCCTCTGTGATCACTCGGGCCACATTGAGCTTGGCCTGCCGGTACCCATCAGCTGCCTTTGGAGTCCCACAGGCATCAAATACCTGATAGGACTCTTTCTTCAGCTTGATGGCATCCCTAACCATTGGGGTCCACCAGCGGGTTCGGGAATTGCCACCACGACATGCACTGATGGCCCTGTGGCCGCAGCTCCGATTGGCCACCTCAACAAAAGAGACCATGAACATGGCCCACTCTGACTCAATGTCCCCTGCCTACCCCTGAACATTTTGGAAGCTCTGCCAGAGGTGTGAATTGAAACTTCTTCTGACAGGAAACTCTACCAGATGTTCCCAGCAGGCCCTAACAATATGTTTGGGCCTGCCAGATCTGCTAACATCAAAGCCAATTCACCACCAGGTAGTGGTCAGTAGACAGCTTCACCCTTCTCTTTACCTGAGTGTCCAAGACATGCTGCCGCAGATCAGATGAGATGACATATGGATACCTTTATGTCTGAACATGGTGTTCATTGTGGACATTCCATGATGAACACAGAAGTCCAGTAAGAAAACACAGCTCAAATTCAGATCGGGGGGCCTTTTCTCCCCACCAAACCTCTGCAGGTCTCACTGTCGTTGCCCATGTGAGCATTAAAGTCCACCAGCAGAACGAGGGAGCCACTGGAAGGAGCGCTCTCCTGCAACAAAAGGGGTGGGTAGTCTGAACTGTAGTTTGATGCATAAGCAGCGACCATGGTCAGGACCCATCTCCCCACATGTAGCCAGAAGGAGGCTACCCTCTCGTTCACTGGGTTAAACTCCAATGTACAGGCACCAAGATGGGGGGCAACTAATATGCCTACTGTAGTATTCAGATTTAAATGTTAGGAACACCCTTGAGGCGTAAAACAACATTGTGGTTGGTGTTTCGACCATGACAGTCACGTACTTTGAAATTTATTAGCTTGTAAAAGTTTGTACATAGCTTGACTACATCGGCACGTCACATATATGACATCACCACAGAAACTCCTCTCTTCTAGCGTAGCTGCTACTTACCACATAGCCAGATTTATGGTGTTTCTTTCCTCCTGAAGGAAGGATTTGAAGTTCGCTGAACTTACAGCCATTTTCCCTCTTTTTTTCTCCATGTCTGGTTAGATGACATCAGGGGCGGCGTTAGGCCCGGCTACTTGGGCTGAAGCCCCGGATGTTTCATGGAAAGCCCCGGATCTAAATCGCAGAAGTAACATGCAGTACCAAAGTCCAACAGAGAGGGAGCAGCTGGCAGTAGTTTGTATACAGCCTGCCTGAGCCTCCACCACTGAAGAAGAAGCCCTTCAGCAGCCGGCTTCTTCTACACTCTCTGCCTGAAACGCATGAGTGAAGATGGACATAAGGACGTTTTTTAGACCAAAAGTACAGCAACAGAACCCCAGCTTTGATGATACTGGTGTTGACTCAGGTTTGTGAGTCTTATTTGAAAATATTTGTTGTGCTGCTGGTTTGCCTAAAGTTAGCTTGCTATCAGGTAATGTTGTTGGAGAAAGAAAGGGAATATTTACTATCATCTCACACTAAACACTAACAGGAACAATACTCTGCCCTGAAAATGCTTAATATGTAGCTTCAGATTAAAAATTATGTGGTACAAGACATACATGATGTTGACTAGTGCGTGTCACGTGTGTGTGTGTGTGTGTGTGTGTGTGTGTGTGTGTGTGTGCGTGCGTGCGTGCGTGCGTGCGTGCGCGTGTGTGTGTGTGTGCGTGTGTTAAGCCCCGGATGTTCTTCAGTCCTTAATCCGCCCCTGGATGACATCACTTTTGTGATACTTATTTGTAGTTGTGGACTTATTTTCACACAAAACATAAAATAACGTTTCCCTCGTTAGAAAATAAGAGCTTTCTTGGTATCAAAATGCATATTTAAAATTCACAGACATATGTGAAATCCATGGCACAAAACAAGCGGAGTTAGAAAATAGCGTATTTAGCCCCATTGACTTGCATTAATTTTTTCGTTCTTCCGGGGACCCATGGTCTAGAAGTACATGGGCGTGACTTAGGCTCCCCTTCCAGAACATCTGCAAAGGGGACCTGAGTGTTTAGATGGTCTCTGAGTCTCAGCTGGATTACTGACATACATTTACTTTTGCACCAGATTCTAGATTTTCCAGTTTCACTTGTACAAATATCAATTCAATAGTTAAAATTCACATTCATAGTAAAGACAGAACCCCAGATATTAACGAACACTTTTAATAGAAATGAAACATGTTGAGTGTCACTAACCACTTTCACGAAGCCACTCGCCACTGCTGCACTCTCCACGCTCTCCACTGCTGTCTGAGCGACCTCGTTGGCCCCAGAAACCGCAGAGTCAGCCACGACGTTCGCCTGTTCGGTTGACTTCTGAGCGACTGACAGACAGAAAACATGTCTAACACACTCACCAAAAATCAGTGCAACACCATTATTAAATACAGTGCTCTAAAAGGGGATTAGCCCCTTTACAGGTTTCTCTGCTGTTGCTATTTTGTCACAAATTCAGTATCTCAGAAAATTAGAATATCAGTTAACATTTCTTCCCACTAGTAAGGTGGGTGTGAGCTTTGTTCCTGACCTGGCTGTTCTGTCACCTTACCAGCAGTCAGTTGTTTGTAGTCTGGGGTGAGACTTGACTCGGAACTAAAATTTGATGCTCACATTAACATGGTGGTGAGCTTTAGGCCCTGTCCACACGTAGCCGGGGATCTCCCAAAACGTAGATATTTTTCTACGTTTTGGCCTGTCATCCACACGAAAACAGAGTTTTTTCACACGAAAACGGATCTTTTTAAAAACTCCGGCCAAAGTGAAGATCTGCGTTTTCTCCGTTTTGGGTGTCTGCATGTGGACAGACAAAACCGGAGTTTTAAGGTCCGCAACGTCACTTTCCGCGACAAAAAAAATGCTGACATCACGTGTGCAACCTGTGTTTACACTAGTCGACAGCATGGATGCCCTCAGAGCTGCGCTCGCTTTATCAATTGTCCAAGCGCTTTTTGCTTGTTTGTTTTTGCAAGCGTAATTACTGCTCCTTGCGGAAGACCACAGATGAAGGACGAGGTTAAGAACGGGGAAAGTACTGGCGCCTACAGGTCTGGCATGTCCTTAACAACGTATTTATCCGGGTACGTGTGGACAGAGTTTTTTTTAAACGAGGTGGTGTGGATGCAAGTTTTTGGAGGGGCAGATATTTATTTAAAAAAAAAACGGCTACGTGTGGACTAGGCCTTAGCTTCTTCTACTTGTGACATTTAGCTATGATCAAGCACATGTTCTCACTGGCTTCCTGTGGCCTTTCGGACTAGGTTTAAGATTTTTCTGCATGTTTTCCGGGCTCTAGGATAATGCTCCTCCATATTTAACTACATTATTAAACTGACATTCTCCCTCACAGTCTCTGCGCTCAGCTGAGCAGGAGTTGTTGGATGTTCCACGCTCTGGGCACAGGACCTTCTTGGTCCTGGCGTCTACTGTCTGGAATGAGCTGCAGCTCGTTGTTCGGCAGTCACCATCACTGCAGGTTTTTAAGAATCACCTGAAGACACATTTTTATTAAATGACTTTTATGTGATGGGTGTTTATCTTAATTGCTTGTGATATGATCTTTTTATCTATTTGTTTTTATTAATCTTGTTGCTCTTTTGTGATTTTATTGCACCTTGGGCTCCCACAAGGTTTGCGGAAAGCACTATACAAATACAATTTGATTGAATGATTGACTGATAGATTGATAGATAGATTGATAGATTGATAGACAGATAGATTGATTGATTGATTGATTGATTGATTGATTGATTGATTGATTGATTGATTGAGACCAATGCAACTAAAGGAAGTTTAGAAATGCTGGCCACCTGAGAAGTATGAGCATGTACAGCACTCAGTATTTAGTTGGGACTCCTTTAGCCTGTATTACTGCAGCAATGCGGCATGGAGTCCATCAGTTTGTGGCACTGCTCAGGTGTTATGAGAGCCCATGTTGCTCTGATAGCGTCCTTCAGCTCATCTGAATGATTGGGTCTGGTGTATTGCATCTTCCTCTTCACCTCATAACCTTTCTATGGAGTTAAGGTCAGGCGAGCTTGCTAGCCAATCAAGAACAAGGACACCATGGTCCTTAAACCAGGTACTGGTAGCTTTGGTACAATGCAGGTGCCAAGTCCTGTTGGAAAATGAAATCTGCATCTCCATGAATTTGGTCAGCAGCAGGAAGCTTGAAGTGCTCTAAAACTTCCTGGTAGATGGCTGTGTTGACCTTTGACCTCAGAAAACACAATGGACCAACACCAGCAGACGACATGGCACCCCAAACCATCACTGACTGAGGAAACTTTACATTGGACCTCAACCAGCGTGGATCCTGGACCTCTCCTCTCTTCCTCCAGACTCTGGGACCTTGATTTCCAAGGGAGATGAAACGGAGAGCATAACTGTGGACCACTCAGCAGCAGTCCCGTCCTTTCTGTCTTTAGCCCAGGTGAGACGCTTCTGACGCTGTCTCTTGTTCAAGAGTGGCATGACACAAGGAATGTAACAGCTGAAACCATGTCTTGCATACATCTGTGTGTGGTGGTTCTTTGGGAATCTTCCCCTCATGTATGATTTTATAAAAGATTAGGTGATGGCGGCATAAATGGGGTATGGGGGCTGTCTCTGCGCTGCCGTGGACTTCCGTTTATCTTGGACATAACTTATTGCAAATGAAGCCGTGATCGTTAATTTTTTTTAACAAGCAGCTCCTAAAGGTGTCTGTCCCGATCAGTCCCTGTGCAGTCTCTGGTGATCTGAGCTTCAGCTCTAACAGAGAGGCTCATGGAGTGCTGCAGCACTCCAGTTTGCCATCTCAGCTGATTTTGTTCAAAAAGCAAACCTTATTGCCTGTGTTCACTTTCATTTTCAATAAATTTGCCAGCTGGAGCTCAGCAATAACTCCCCACGTCATCATGACATCTGCCTCTGTTGCGCCAGGGCGCATACGACAGACCATTACCGCAAGATTACTACCAAGCGAGGCGGATCGAATGCCGCAAAATTCGTGCAATGCCATGCCGGCATGGCACGTTTATAGACATACCATTGCGGTGATATTACGCTGATTTGCCGGCATGGTGTGTCTTATAAAAGAGGCTTGTGTTGATTTCACACAGGCCCAGTTAGGGTATCTGCAGTTTTGGAGAGCTTTCTTGATGTGTTTCTCTTCCTTTTTTTCTTTCCTTCCGGCTTTGTGGAAATGTTCTCGGCCCGATGGTGTAAAGTCCTGATACCTGACATTTTGTGCTCCAGTGGGTGGACTTCCTGTAGACTGTAATGCTGAGACTTCCATCTTGTTCAGTTTGGACAGCACAGTCCAAGAAGGGCAGTTGGTTGTTGTGGGCATCCTCCCTGGTGAACTTGATGTTCTTGTCCATGGCGTTACTGTGCTTGGTGAAACTTTCTACTTGCTGTGTGAAATTTTTGACTCATGTCATTCATGTTCCTGAACCAGTGGCTTGGTGTTGTTCCATTGTAGGAGTGCAATACTCTGTTTTCCACTTCCTCCATGTAGATGTTGGAAACAATAGGTGATACCAGGGTGCTCATGGTGCATCCACATTTCTGCTAGTAAAGTTGTTGTTTTTGAAGAAGCTGGTGGAAAATCCAGGAGGGTACAGATCTGATCTGGAGTCAGTTTTGTGCCCTCTCAATCTTATTCCAAACAGCTTCAGTCTAGGTCGCCCCCTCCTGCATCTAATCAATACGACTCTCACACAATAGAGGCTAACAAATAATCAGGGTTAGGAAGAAGGGGTTTTCTTAGGCATTTTCACATCATTAAGCAACAATAAATCACTACAGTTTAAAAGCTTGACCCTCCCATATTCCAGTCAGAATTGACAAAGCTCCTTGGATGAGAAGCAAAATGTCTTCAAGAAACCAGAGAATTCAAGTTGCCTTCATTCAAACCCCTTTGGATTACCAGGACCTGGATGACTGACAATCTTCACCAGCACCAAATAAAATCAGTTACAAAGGTAACAATGAATTTCTTTGTAAAAGTCGTCCACGTTTCCTACCAAGAACTACAACCCCACCCTGAGCAGATGTGGCTACCCAAGCACATTAAGTGCTAATGTAACAGTGGCAATTTGTCAGGACCAACCAAATTCTTCTACGTAAACATGCCCATGTACAGCCAATCATGTGGTGTGAATTAGATCTGGTGCTGACACCAGCTCACATTCACTAAATATCACCTCCACGTTCCCCAATGATTTTCAGAAAAATATTTATTTCTTGTGAATTTAGTTGTTTGGAGTCATTTGGATGTACAAATGTGAATGTAAATCAATGTAGGTAATTTATGCAGCACAAGTTTACAGCTAATGTTACTTAAAATCTTTAACAATTATTACTGAGATGCAACTGTAAATGCCATATCGAGGAGGACAAAGAAAGCTGTTGGTTTACCTGTGTTTACACCAGTCACCACGCCCTCCATCGTCTTGTTTCCTGAACAAGAGGCAGAAATCAGGTGTGAATCAGAGGTGAGGTGAAAGAACTGGAAATAGTTAAGTTTGCAAGAGAATGTTAGAGATGTCATGGAACCAAAACTGTTGCAAGAACAACCCGCTTCCACTGGTCACCTTGAAAACATGCTTGTAGAGAAAGTAGGACACAACATGTGAAACCCTTCCTCACTTGTCAAGATATCTTTAAGAGTTGGAGAAGGAACCGAAACATCAAGCTTCAATCATAGGGGTCAAGCAGAGCTTTAACAGGAAGGAGATGGGAGCACATTTCACCAATCATGAAAAATTTGAGCTGGCTTTTGGTTCACTGTCAGGTTCTGTCAAGATACACTAGCACAGTGGTTCCCAACCTTTTTCCCAAGGGACCCCGTTTTTTACCAGTAACATTTTTGACGGCCCCCTTCCATTCTCTCTTCCAGTACAAACATTATTAAGAAATGATAAAATTGTTCAAGCACATTTTAATATGCTTTGATTCAATAGATAACAGTAATAGTAGGCTCCAGTACAGAACAAAGTCATTAACAAAACCAAACAGAGCATAATGTGCTTGACAGTTTGTATTACTTTTCTGAACACATTGTTTCTTGTAAACACTGATAAATCAATCATTCCTTTCAATAAACATTTGACACATAAAAAATACACTGAGCAAAATGTACTTAAATGTGTATATTACTGTTTATACTAGATTATTTACTGTAAAGGTGGCACGGTGTAGGAGGTGGAGATGGTGGACCATGTGTGGATGAGCTGAGCAGGAGGTAAAAATGCAGGCTTCAGTAAAAGTAAAAATGGTTTAATGGCAGGATGGGATGAACAGGAACACCAACAAACAACAACAATGAACTGACAAAGGACAGGGGCAAAACAGGTGGTTTAAATACAGAGGGCTAATTAGGGAAACATGGGTAGGTAAACGATGGACAGGTGAGAACAATAAGGGTAATCATGGCAGGAGAGGAACACAGTCAGGCGGGCAGGGGCAGATCGTGACAGTACCCCCCCCCCCCCCCCCTTAAGGGCGGATACCAGACGCCCATAAGGCCACACGACACAGGAGACGGGGACTCGAAGGCTGGAACAGGGACTTGACTGGAACATGACTGGACTGGAACATGACTGGACCGGAACATGACTGGACCGGAACATGACTGGACTGGAGCATGACTGGACTGGAGCATGACTGGACTGGAGCATGACTGGACTGGAGCATGACTGGACTTGAGCATGACTGGACTTGAGCAGGCGTGGGACCCAGGCAGAGAACTGCAGGAGCAGGCGTGGGGCCCAGGCAGAGAACTGCTGGAGCAGGCGTGGGACCCAGGCAGAGAACTGCTGGAGCAGGCGTGGGACCCAGGCAGAGAACTGCTGGAGCAGGCGTGGGACCCAGCAGGGACTGCAGCAGTACAAGACCTGCAGGCATAAGCCCCACAGCGTGGACCAGGAAGTGGACGAACGGCAGGAGCGACGCCAGAAAACCAGGATCGGCGGCAGGCACTCGACAGCCGGTCAGAGCAGGTGCACGGCACGATTCGCTGGATCTCCGGCAGAGGCTTGGGTGCAGGGAAGCAGGAGAAGAGCGGGGAGACCAGCCCTACCACCCCGGTGAACAATGGCGTGCGTAGGGGGTGTAACTCCCTTGTAGCTCCAGGATCCGCGGCTTCCATGTGAAAAACAGGACGGGGACAGAAAGCAGGAGAGGAGAAGGGCTCGACCACCACAGGAAACGGACTGGATGCGCCGAAACCCACCCAGAGGCTTGACCACCCCGGAGAACAGGTAGGATGCGCCAACACCCTGGGCCAGAATCTCCTTCTGCTAAAGGAAAAAAAAAATAAAAAAATCCTCCAGGGAGATGTAGAAGTGCTCACCACGGGTCCAGGTTTTGTTCAGTTCATTCTTTCACGGTGTAGGAGGTGGAGACGGCGGACCATGTGTGGATGAGCTGAGCAGGAGGTAAAAATGCAGGCTTCAGTAAAAGTAAAAATGGTTTAATGGCAGGATGGGATGAACAGGAACACCAACAAACAACAACAATGAACTGACAAAGGACAGGGGCAAAACAGGTGGTTTAAATACAGAGGGCTAATTAGGGAAACATGGGCAGGTAAACGAGGGACAGGTGAGAACAATAAGGGTAATCATGGCAGGAGAGGAACACAGTCAGGCGGGCAGGGGCAGATCGTGACAAAAGGCTGTGATTAATCAACCAGTCTTATCTTTAATGAACTTTTGACACTTGAAAATAAAACAGGGAGCTGAGCAAAATGTTCTTAAAAGTGTGTTACTTTTTCTGTACTAATTATTTCCTGTCTTAATATCAGTAAACTTTCCACTCATGAAAAAAAAATGTGAGCAAAATGCAGGCTATAAACAAGTAATAAATGAAGATTTAACCCCTTAAAGTGGAAAGGTCCTGGTGACCCACTGAGAGGCTTTGGCGCCCCCTTGTGGGGGTCGGGACCCCCAAGTTAGGAACCACTGCACTAGCAGATCCAGTAATCGGGCCTGCTGAGTTGGATTTTATGACTGTCAACCAAAACTCCTATCAGTTGCTCTGAAATGCACTGCTGCTGAGTGTCAGAAAAGCTCCATGACTCCAGTCTTTCAAAAGTCGGTTGAAGACACATTTCAATCCCTGACAATGTTTTCAGCACATTCTTATGGGAATGTAGCTTTAATGGTTGTAGACTTAGTTCTGGTTATTGCTTTTTAACTTTCATGTTTTATTTTTTAAATTTTGTTATTATTTTGAATATGTCCTAATTTATATGATGTGATCAGCACTTTGCACCAATGCTTTCAATGGGCCCAAATATTGAACCTGTTGAGGGTCTGCCTTCATGTGAAATTGCTACTCAGTATTTTCTCCAAAAGACTGTGTCATCTGCTCTGAAAAGCTGGAACATATTCCTACGCCAGCATGCCCTCATGAGGAAATTACTATGCAGTAATTACTATGCAGTAATTTCTCCAAAAGACTGTGTCATCTGCGCTCTGAAGAGCATATTTAAACATCAGCGCCAGCTACAACTTCATTTCCCAGGATTCCCTGCTCCCGGAAGCGGCGCCAAATACAGGAAACAAGTTCTGCACATGTGCGGGAGCCACACGGACTCTTCCCGCCGGACCACCAGAGTCTATAAAAGGGAGACAAACGAAACTCATCTTGTCTTTTGTCTAGTTCAACTGGCGTGGAAAGACGCACCCGCTTGCTACGGCTCCGGACAGATTGTGCACGAGGCCTGGCGGCTGAAGTGGACGACGCCGAGACGCGGAAAAGCAGCGGAAAACCATCAAATCAACGGAGAAACCATCTGACCTGCAGCGCGAACACAAAAGGGACGCCTTGGGGGTTCGCTCACGCAAGCTTTTGTTTTTTCCTCTATTTCTCTTTCTTCCGTTTCTCCTATAGTTAACAATAAGCAGTCACACCGCACAATTTGCTTCAAATTACCAGACGGCTTTTCTTCTCCGTACCAAAAACGCCATCGGATCATCTTGAAGAGCCGTTTTGTTTGTCATTGTTTAATATCTTAAATAGTTTATGCTGTGGCCAGGCTGACAAACTATTAGATATTCATTCATGAGTGATCTTTTATGTTGTTTATTAATTTTTTTAAACCTTTGAAGTGTTTAAGTTACTGTGATTGAGTTTAAAGTGTAAGCTAAACCCTTTTGTGTCTGTATCTGAGGAGGAAAGTCATCTCACAGAGGGTCTGAGCTAAACACACCCCCTCACCACACAGGCTGGTCTGATTTGCTCCAGCCATCAGCCATCTTGGACATCATCTCAGCTTACACACACACACACACACACACACACACACACACACACACACACACACGCACGCACACAGGCTGAAATCTGATCTCTGCTCAGACAAAGGGTCAGACATTTTGTGTTCAAAGCCACTCCATTCGGAGATCCTAGCCACTTGAACACCATTTTGATCACCCCATATCAGATTGTCACGTCACATTATTATTATTCATTATTTTAATTGTTTGTTGATAAAATAAGTTGGTTGATATTGATTGGCTAAACGCTTCAGAAGGAGCTGAAGTGATTATTAGTTAATAATGTTCTTTTTTTATGTTCTTTTATGTGCTTAGCAGATGCTTTTACCCAAAGCGACTTACAATTTTTTTTTAACCTATAGGGCATGTTGTGATCTGTGGGGGAAACCGGAGTACCCGGAGAAAACCCACGCATGCATGGGGAGAACACGCAACTCCACGCAGAAAGGCAAGTTTTGAACCTGCGACCTTCGTGCTGCGAGGCAACAGTGCTAACCACTGCGCCACCATGCAGCCCCTTATTAATTGAATAAATGTTATTCAATTAAGTTTTGTCTTCCAAGTGGATTTGTTTGTGATATAAAATTCAACTGCAGCTCGTTAAGATTCACGGAACGTTCAGACAGAATTGATAAGAGGTTTGGATTCATTTCCCCTGTTAGAGGGGGTGGTGCCCCGTGGATATCTCCGGATATCCTAATTAATTAATTAATCGGTAAACAGTTCCACATTTACGAATTTATTGAAGAATCCAAAAAGTAAGTAAAAGCTTACAAATTATTCGTTGACCTATAACCCCAACAAACCCAAAACCAAAATGACACAACAGACTTACCCCTACTTCACACTGGAACGATCACTGACACGGAATGGTACAACATGTTGCTGCTTCAAATAGAATCCATCATTGTCTATAGGGGTGATACCTCTATGGCAGGGGTCGGCAACCCGCGGCTCTTTCATCCATCTGATGTGGCTCTCTGCTTGTAAAATAATTAATGAATATTTAATTAAAACATATTTTATTTACTGCATTCATTTTTATCTGTATGCCAATTCTAAATGTAAAGATTGCCTGCATAAACCTGAACAGGTCCAACGGTTGACAGGTCACCTGCTTGTGCATAATCAGATATCTCTATAAGAGCTTTCTGAGCTGAAGAGGATATGAGATTC